AAAGACGGATAGCTGCCAGTTTACGTTTGAAATAACACAGATTTCGTCATTCCTGTAAAGGAATTCTGCTTCTTCGCCGTGCTAAGGAAAAACGCCCTGTGAATATTCGAAAGCAAGGTTGCACGCGTGAAATGGAAAATATGAAAGATTGGAAAAATCCGTGAAATACTTCGTGAAATTTTACGATACCGTGATAAATTTGATACTTTTCAGGGGTGAGAGTATGCAACCCGCACTCGAATACACAAAAATAGAAGACAGACACGATTATTACATTTGGCGAAATATGAAAAGGAACTGATATTTTCCAATATTTTCTATACATTTCTGAAATTCCATGAAATATCCCAAGTGAAATTTCAAAATTGTATTTCTCATGAAAAATTGCAACCCTGTTCGAGAGTTGCCAAATTTCCTCTAGTAAAATGTCTATTTTTGAGGAGAGTTATGAATATTTTCTTTTAAAATTTTCTGATGACGTGAATCTAGTTACGAAGAAAATTTTTTGAGGAACTAAACGGAAAATATTCACTTTCTCTGAAAATTCATATTTGATCCAAGGAAATTTGGCAACTAACGAAGGTTTCTACGGCGTTTTTCCGTAGCACGGCGGTATTGCATTTGCATGAACTACTCTGGACTTTATTGAATCCCGAGGCCTGTATGGTGTTTTTAACTCTCTTGTAGAATCCGTTCTGCTAAATGAATTTCCTGCTTTTACAACATTCAGCCTCGCGGATCAATCTGCAGAAATGTCAAAGGTAGAACGTTATACTTGCTAAAACCGCCGCACCGTCTTGGCTATTTAAGGAAACGCTGGAGAAAAAAAACACATTTGATCTAGAGCCCAGACTCTTAAAAAGATCGACAAGAAAAAGTACTCTTGATTCAATCAGAATCTAGCTTAAATCAAGAACCAAGTCTCTTAATTTAAGCGGACTTCGTTTTGTTTCAAGCAAAAATCCGATTGAATCAAGAGTATTTTTTCTTGTCAACGTTTTCAAGAGTCTGAACTCTAGATCAAATGTGTTTTTTTCCAGTGAAACTTCCGCCTTTACACACTATATGCATTTCAGCAGTTTCACCATCGATGAACACGAAGTATAGCATGCCATTAAATCAACGATATAGAAACTATAAATTGGTGTTGGTGTACGAAAAAACGTAACACACATGGAGCGCGTTCGATAGGCGGACGGGGAGTGGAAATGGCCGATTGTTATCTTCGTCATAATCTCAAATACATGGAATCTTACGGGAGTTTTTAGAATAAATGATTTAGCGTTGAAATTTTCATCGTAAACGCACTTGATGAATGGCTAAGTTCCATTTCTGGACACAGATTTTCAAATAGTTGGTTCTAAATTTGATACAAATCCGTTTTCAGCAACAGTCCCATAAGAAGCCATAGCAACCGACTATATTCGTCCTTTAACCTAGTTGTTGCTCCTGGTGTGTTGCGAATTTCACTGTTGGTGTAGCATAGGATCCCCCTATCTATAGTTTATAGAGCATTGCATCCAATTTATACGGAACAACCGAGAGGAAATCCTGGTCCGAGTGATCTGGGACACCCTGTACGTAGAAGTGCCATAAATTTCACAACCGCGTGAGTGACGTAGCTCAAAGCAAACAAGATTCGCCGCGCCCTCTTCCCGCCTCCCGCAGGACTCCGAAGAACCTGTTACCTCGTGGGCTGAAATTGCTATCGCGGGATGAAAGAAAGTGTAAAGGTAATTCCATTACTCAATCACCCCTCTCCCAGATTCCACCCCCCATCCGCACCCCGTGCCCTTTCTCCCGAGTAATGAGCCAATGACTTTCCGCGGAAACTTATTGTTTGCGAAAAAGCATCGATCTGTCTTATTTTTGCCCGGACGGGTTCTGCGGTTGGATTTTACGACACGGAGGCGAGGGTTGTTGCACCCACGTAATAATTGCTGTCTCGCGAGAAAATAGAATTTGATAAATTGCGCGTCTCTCTGCAAAAGTTGAGGAACTTTTGTTCGCGAAGAAAAGCAACATAGGTATTCCAACAGAGATGTTGGAATAAAACGGGGTAATGTGACGGTTATACATGAAAAAGAATATTAATAGACATCGACGGTGGAACTACCGAAGCACATAACTACACGGTTAAAAATTTTAGAGTGGAGTTAAAAAGTTTTCCTTTTCTAGACCCTGGTAAAAATTGGCAGTAGAATCTGTGTTCCAAAATACCATATAGACCTACAGCCGGCTGTAAGATTTCTAATAGCTTCTATAGCCGGCTGCACAATTTCTAATAGTCTATTATAGCCGATGGCGATTAAGCAACAGCCAGGCGATAAAGTGTATGCTAAACGTTACTAATTACGGATGCTAGGACTTCGTGAGTTTCTGGACTACTGCTCTCTTTCTGGGCCGTAGTGTCTTGATTTATTTTGCGAGGAAAGCTCCGTACTTTTGATGGATGCCTGCCATTCCTAATATATTAGAGCGCCTTCAGTTTCGTTTGGTCCTGTACAATACCTCTGGTGTGAAATAGTTGCCTCAAGCGCCGTGATGGCACGCTGCGGTGCGGCAGGCGGGCAGCCAGCGCAAAACGCGCATTGGCGCCTACAAACCTAACAGGTATACTTCACGCGTTGCGCAATGCGTGAAGTATCCCTGTTAGGTTTGTAGGCGCCAGTGCGTCGCCGCTCCGCTTTGTGTTAGGCTCTAATATTTAATCTCGTGGAGTCAGCGTTTCTCAACTCGTGACTTTGAAATGTTTGCACATCCTGTATGGTCCTGTATTATTCTCATTTTAATCGATGAAAAAAAATATTTACTAAAGGAAAATATAATGTGTGTTTTTTAAACATTAAGGTGGTTCTGTATCAAACTTAATGATTTCCAAAGCACACGAATTTCTACACACTTTCTGATAGCCTTTTATAATCGATGGTGAAAAAGCAACAGCCAGGCGATAAAGTGTAAAGCCCGGCAATAGGAACTATAGCCCAGCTGCATAATTTTTTATCGCTTCGTATAGCCCGGCCGTATGATTTTCTCCGCATTCTACAGCCAGCTATATGATTTTCTGTAGCCTTCTTTACCCGGCTATAAGAATTCCTATGGTATTTTGAAACGCAGCTCTTATCGCCAATTTTTACCAGGGGAATCCAAATCCAAAATCTAGATCCTAGAATTTGGCCACTCTCGAATATTCATACGGCGTTTTTCCTTAGCACGGCAGTAATGTGCTTGCTATTTTTTACGGAGGAAAGAGAACTCATCACATAAAAAAAAGAACTAAATTCAGTAGCTTGATGAATTGTGGCCAACGTTTGCATCCAACCACTTTTTCACCAATGTGCTGGTTACACGCTCAAATTCCCATCAATTTCCGATCAAATGGTGACTGGTGCGCACCATCTACCATCAAATTTCTACGGCCTGCAAAAATCTGATGGTAGATGATAGAGCTGTGGGGCTCATCCTTCATCTGATCGCCACACAACCGTGCTAATTTCATGCTTACTTCAATCAACACGCTCTTTTAATTAATTTTACTCGTCAATCTAGATAACTATCGACCGCCATCTTGGTCATCATTTTGATTGGACTTTGACGGGAATTTGATCGTGTAACCAGGCCACAACCTCGGGGGGTGGATCGAGAGTTCAAGATGTATTCGTCATTGCTGCCAGCATGAAAACCAAATATTTTAGGCGCACCGTCGCTTGGAAACAATTTTGTTTTGTTGTGAAGGAGGTTGGCAGTAAGTCAAAATCTTAACCGAATCCACTCACGGAAATTCGATTACAGCCTGACACCCAATTCTCCATCCAATCGCGATCCAAATCCGAGTTTCAAAAAAGGAAAAGCCTTTTGCATTGGGATGAAAGTCTTAAGTTAGAATTTGGAAAAGCTTTCCGCTGACAATGTAAACACTTCCGTGTATTTTTCATATTCCTCCGGATGAAAAATCGGCCCACCTTCTGTTTAAGCATTCTCGCGAGAGTGTTTCCTCGAAAAGCTGGTGCTGGCAGGGGGCTCTTAGTCCTTGCCGGCGCACAGTGGATCGAGTCAATGGCAGAGGTCGGACAAAATTTGGAAACTTTAAACGCTTATTACTCCGCTGATACTAAATTTGAGGTTTTAAAAGTGGCTCCATTGGTTCCGCGTAAAATCTTCTTTTAGAAATATTTCCTAAAATTTAAAATGTGACGAAATAAACATGAAAAATTGCAGTTTTAGTTAAAAATTTCATGTCCGTCCTCTCTGATTCACTCGACCCAGTGTGCGGCGTGACGCTTTTGTTTACATTATTCAAACGTGCCGCGAGGCTCACGTTGTTGCAAAGTTGTCGAAAATTTTCCCAGTCTTTTCGGAACCTCGAAGGACTCGCCCAAGGTTGCAAGTTTTCATGAAAAAAAGTCTTGAAATTTCACGTGGAGTACTTCATGAAGTTTTTAACAAATATGAAAGATTGATTTCTTATAATTAAAGGCAAATGTTAATGATGGAAAACCGAAGATCTATGTTTTTGTCACAAACCGGTTTTTTGCTCCAAACTGAGCAATTTGAGTTTCAAGTTTCAGGCGTAAGTATTTTGTCCTCACTTGAAAAAAAAAAAAAAACAAATTGGATCTAGAGTCAAGACTCTTGGAACCATTGACAATAAAATGGACTCTTGATTCAATCAGACTTAAGCTTAAATCAAAAGGACATCCGTTCAAATTAAGAGGTTTGGTTCTTGATTTAATCTTAAATCTGATTGATCAAGAGTATTTTTTCTTGTCGATGTTTTTAAGAGTCTGGACTCTGGACCCAATGTGTTTTTTTTCCGGTGCTGCGTGGTCACATATTAACTAGTGGACTTAATTTAGGATCTACAATTTCTGGCTTATCCGTAAAAACACTCGTGTGCATGAGAAACGAATGGTGCATACATTGTTTCTGAACGAGCCACAAACTGCAGTTCCTAATTGCAAATGTAATCCAATTAAAATCAGGTATGAAGCACGACTTACCGTCATAGCAAAACTCCTGTTCCGGATCACAGAGAGCTTCGCTGAACAAACATCCTGAAACAGATCAAAGAAGATAATGAGTAGAATTTCATTGTTTGATTTATTTGCAAGAATAGAACTGAAAGTGTTCGAAAAATGTCTTTAAAACTGCAGTAAATTATTCATTCCTCTTGATTGAGACTTTCAGTCTCTGCCACGATCCGACTTCAAGTAAAAGAGGTAAGATCAATCGGCTAAGAGAAACATTGTCGGGCAGCAGAAGAAGTTTTCTAAAATTAGGATCGACATACGTTCATTTGGACGTATTTCTATCAAACTGAACTATGTGCTTTAAGACATGAGCCCTGAGACCCATAATAATAAATGCGTAACAAGGCTCACGTCATAATGAACATAGTTCCGTTTGATAGAAATACGTCCATTTGATCCCAGGTCATGAGACGGCAATCAATCTATTTCTAACTCTATCGGAATTTTTCGGAACCGGCTTCTCACAATTTACGAATATTGAGCAATTTCTTCCGTGAGAGAGAAATACAGGTAAAGAGTGCTCAACTAGAACAATTCTACATAGGTGTGCTGAAGAATGAGTTATTCGATAAAATGTGCGAAAATAGTGAAAGTGAAGGGTTCATTCTAGGATCTAGGCACTTATTAAAATTAAGCAAAGTTGATCGCAAAAATTAATGTCTCCGCCCCAAAATAAGAAATCTTTGTTTTACTTTTATATTAAAATTAATAATATAGTAATCTTTTATAATAGTTTGACGCCAGTCTATGTTCATTTTTCTCCAAATATTCGAGAAAAAAAAATAAAATTATTTATATTTTAATATAACTACTTAATATAATTTCTAGGGAACGAATAGATAAAATTTCTCGAGAGAGAAATATATCGTCAGAAAAGGGGTGGGTGCAAAATCGACAAAATTTCCCCCCTCATGGATGTTGACCAAATTTCAGTATGTCATTCCTCACTATGGGATACGCTTTTTCCCAAAATTTCACGGCCTGAAACGAATTTCTCTCCGCGTAGCAGCGTTGCCAAGTTGAAAACCGTCGTGTTCCATATCTTTTGAACGAAAAGAGATATTGAGATGCGGTTTGCGTTAAAATTCTCCAAAAATTGCGTTCTTTCGATGTATGTACTCAATTTGATCGTTTAGGTAATTTAAGATTGCAATGATGCCATTTTTCACACTTTCTTAAGGGTCAATTTTTTTTCAACCCTAGTACACCATCAAATGCCGGATTCTCGATTCGAAAAAAAAACTGTTCATTGTATTATTCGTACTTTTCCATTTCTTTTGATATATTATAGCTCCCAGGGAAACGATTAGTAACGGAGATATGAGCAATCTAAGTTTACGCTCCGCGCGCGCCGACCGGAATCCGGGCGCCGCTCGCCGCTCTGAGTCGTCTGCACACTCCCTTCCTTAAGCTTCACGAGGTCATTCCTATGTATTTTTTTGCGTACTTTCCATTTCTGGCCTTTGAAAAGGGCTCCGATGAATTTTTAGGGGCCTCGCGGTCCATTGTTGCCATTTTTTGCTCGTATTTAGGGTTTTTTCCCTATTTTACTCACAATTCTACTGAAAAACTTAATTTAAACGGAAAACTGTGTGCGTTGAGGGAAAGAACGTGAAGAAGAAATAAAAATTCATGTAAAAATGTTTCCTTCGTTGCCAAATTTTCGAGAAAAATCGTCCTAAAGAGCCAAATATTTGAAAAATTGGATAAATCCCCACGCCATGGTTTATGAAAGTGGGGCATAGCTTTCATATTGACGTACTTACGTAACAGATCTTACCTATCTATACAACATATTAAAAAAGCATAGTTGCATTTGGATTCCCACGATCTGAAATTTGTCCAGGATGTCACCTTTTGCGGTCTTTTCTTATGTGTAAGGTAGATCTTTTGAATGTTTTTCGACCTTTAGTCATCCTCCGTAGGGGTGTATCGTATGTATTTTTGCTGTAATTTTCATTTTTGAAAAGAACGTAAAAAAGTACATCATTAACGTTCGTAAGGACTTATTCTTACGTTGCCAAATTTTCAAGAAAAATCGTCCTAAAGTGCCAAAAATTGGATTAATTATGACGAAGATGTCTCTAGGAAAGTGAATTATGATTTCAACTTAATTTTATAATTATAATTTTAAGTATGACTTAATGCTACGGGCCACTTCCCCAAGATGAGAGGCAGAGAGGCTGCATGAGAAGAGAAGCCCACAATTGAGGAGCATTCCGGAAAAAGGGCACATACGCGTATGTGCCCTCTATCGGAGGTGACAGAAATGAATTCCTTGCATCCTAATGTACCAATGCCCCGAGTTTCAGCTTAATTGATCAATTTTTGGAGCTACGAGACCACGTTTTTTGAGGCTAAGAATAAGTCAAGGGTCACAGACATATTTCATCTATTTGCTTCTGGGTATACTTTCGCCGCGACGTTTAGGAGATAGTGCGCGGGCAGGCAGGGAGGTGATGGGTACTGATAAGGATCCCTCACTACAGATGCATCGCACTGATTCTGCTAATCAATGCAATAGCATCGGGTTGCAGGGATTGTAGGGATTCTCTACGCGTTGCACCAGTCACACGTGAATTTTTTTAATTATTAATGATTTATTTTTTATGGTCTCGTGTGAGATTGAATTTTTCGATTTTTTCGCGTGTTTCGCAGTCTTTTGCATTATTAATGCTCGAAGATGATCCACCCGCGCATTCTCAATCGAAATTATTATTTATTAGTCATTCGGAATCATTTACTCTTGTTTAGAAACTCGTTGAAGTCTCGAAAATTCAGCTTCAAAGCCAAAACCTATGACCACTGGTCCATTTCCAGGAAAAGGGCACATAACGAATAATTTTAAAAAATTCTTCCCACAACACTGGAAGAAGTGTAAGTTTTATTACCAATGGCCGTTATTCATTCTGGAGTTTATGAACGTTGATATAAGTGCCCCAGTTCCGATGTATGTCATCTTCAGTGGCCAGAAAGTAAGAGTGAAAACTTCAAATGCGTTTTTCTCACAACACGTTTTTTCGGTATGTGCCCTTTTTCCGGAAAAGCTCTTCAATTCTGCATGAAAGTCATTATTCATTTCCTTAAACCTTCTACGTTCTACGACATATGGTTACGATACACCCCTACGGAGGATGACTAAAGGTCGAAAAACATTCAAAAGATCTACCTTACACATAAGAAAAGACCGCAAAAGGTGACATCCTGGACAAATTTCAGATCGTGGGAATCCAAATGCAACTATGCTTTTTTAATATGTTGTATAGATAGGTAAGATCTGTTACGTAAGTACGTCAATATGAAAGCTATGCCCCACTTTCATAAACCATGGCGTGGGGATTTATCCAATTTTTCAAATATTTGGCTCTTTAGGACGATTTTTCTCGAAAATTTGGCAACGAAGGAAACATTTTTACATGAATTTTTATTTCTTCTTCACGTTCTTTCCCTCAACGCACACAGTTTTCCGTTTAAATTAAGTTTTTCAGTAGAATTGTGAGTAAAATAGGGAAAAAACCCTAAATACGAGCAAAAAATGGCAACAATGGACCGCGAGGCCCCTAAAAATTCATCGGAGCCCTTTTCAAAGGCCAGAAATGGAAAGTACGCAAAAAAATACATAGGAATGACCTCGTGAAGCTTAAGGAAGGGAGTGTGCAGACGACTCAGAGCGGCGAGCGGCGCCCGGATTCCGGTCGGCGCGCGCGGAGCGTAAACTTAGATTGCTCATATCTCCGTTACTAATCGTTTCCCTGGGAGCTATAATATATCAAAAGAAATGGAAAAGTACGAATAATACAATGAACAGTTTTTTTTTCGAATCGAGAATCCGGCATTTGATGGTGTACTAGGGTTGAAAAAAAATTGACCCTTAAGAAAGTGTGAAAAATGGCATCATTGCAATCTTAAATTACCTAAACGATCAAATTGAGTACATACATCGAAAGAACGCAATTTTTGGAGAATTTTAACGCAAACCGCATCTCAATATCTCTTTTCGTTCAAAAGATATGGAACACGACGGTTTTCAACTTGGCAACGCTGCTACGCGGAGAGAAATTCGTTTCAGGCCGTGAAATTTTGGGAAAAAGCGTATCCCATAGTGAGGAATGACATACTGAAATTTGGTCAACATCCATGAGGGGGGAAATTTTGTCGATTTTGCACCCACCCCTTTGGCAACATGGCAATGTTTGCAGTGTACGCCGTTTTACCTTAGCACGGCAGTGCTGCTCGACCGTGCTGAGGACAAACGCCGTATGAACATTCGAGAGTTACCAAATTTCCTTCGATAAAATTTTTCTTTTTGAGGAAAGGTATGAATATTTTCCCTTGAAATTTTCAAGAATTTTGGGTGAAATTGCGAAAAAAATTATCTGAAAAAATGGAGGAAAAACATTCATGAGTTTTCTAGGAAAGTCGTGTTTTATTTATGAATTAAATTCGCTTTTTATCAACGGAAATTTGGCAACGCCTGAAGGTCCATGCGGCGTTTTTACTTAGCACGGTATGGCAGTGCTCTCTTCCGTAACAAGGCTGAAGGGAAAAACGGTCACTGAGATCATCATTTCGAGGTCTGTTCACAATGTCGCTTGGATGCAAACCCGAGTGTCGTAGCAAAAACCACGTAAATGCAATGCAATATCGCGACCAGATCCGCGTTTTTAACTTAGTGTGTTCGCGATTTACGATTAATCACCGAAGAGGAGGGTACCCATAAGACGCTCAGATCACTAAACCGCTTTTTAACGGTTTAATCGTCTCGGAGTTTGCCAATTTCTCGGCTATTATCATTATGTAAATCTCAGTGCCAAGTACTCTCCGGGCCTGGAGCGGTCCGGCGAACAAGTTGACAAGATTTCGAGTAAGTGCTCTATCGACGGTCTCGGTTCAACACCGTCCAGCAGCGTTGCAAAATTTCTGCTTAAGGTTCAGTTACACGATCAAATTGAAGCTCTGATTGGTGGAAAAAGACCTGAGGTGAGGATGCGACCAACGAGAGGCCCAATTTGATGGCTCAATTT